AAGAAAGCAAAATTATCATTAATAAGTTTCTTAAGCGAGCTCTAAATTGGAGTAAAATCAGAAATTTGCTTCGGTACAACTTTACATACTTTAATCTTCATAGGATACAGTCAACTCTCTCTAAGACGGACACCTCTGGGACCGGCACTGGCTCTCCGTCTTAGAGAAATGTCCGTCTCATAGAGAGTCAAATAAAGGGAGGAAAGAAAGGCAGGGACCAACTCTAGGTGTCCGTTTTACAGAGATGTCCGTCTTATAGAGGTGTCCGTTAAGAGAGAGCCGACTGTACTTACTTGCAAGAGTTATTTTTGTGGTCGTTGTGTGTGGCAACTCTAGTGAAAAAGAAAAATAAACAAACGAAACGAAAACAAAGAAATTATTTTCTCTCCAGAAAGGTGGAATTAACATTATATTTCTATACGGCACCACTAAGGCCCTGTCCACACGTATCCGTTTTAGTTTTTTTTCCCCGGTTTGGCCTACCGTCCACACGTATCCGGGAAAAACGGTCACCGAAAACGCATCTTTTCAAAAACGTTCTCCAGCGTGGAGATTTTAGAATAAGCCGGTTTCTCGTTTACGTGTGGACGGACGAAAACGGAGGTTTTCCAATACGATGATGTCATACTTTATATTCTTCTAGCATGAAGCATGCGCCGTAAGTGATGCTATCGTCTTTTCTTCGTTTTAGCGTTTTCATGTGGATGACCGAAAACGATTCGAATACGCTAAGTGTGGATGGGTAGTTTTTTTTTCCTTGAAAACGGGAAAAAAGTGTGGACGGGGCCTAAGATTCAGATATTTTTCTTTGTCGGTCTATCGTGACGTAAATGTTATGACTTCTCGTTTATTCACCAAACTTCATCGTCACCTTCAACATTTATTACCCAATCGATAGTTATCGCATGTCCTCAGCAAGCTTGGAACAATGACATGGAACTACAGAACACATATCGTAACCTCTCTTCTAAAAAGTAAAGAGGGTAAATTCTCCTCCAAAAATAGATGTGTCCGGACCTCTTTTACGAACAGACCACAATGGTCGCTAACGGGAGGATGGACGGTTTTTACATAGCGTTTAACTATAGTTGAAAAGGTGCCCATTTTTTCCAATACATTCATTCATGTTCTTGAAGCCCCTGAGAGACTTACGTGTGGGTGTTATTTCGGGGTCAGTGGTGCTTGGTGTCCCTGCTAGAAGAAACCAAAAATATCATTTAATAAGATTTTAAGCGAGCTTTAAATTGGAGTAAAATCAGAAATTTGCTTCGGTACAACTTTATATACTTTAATCTTCATGGGATACTTACTTGCAGGTGTTACTTTTGTGGTCGTTGTGTGTGGTAACTCTAACGAAAAACGCAAAAAAAAAAAGCAAAAACAAAACGAAACCAAAGAAATTATTTTTTTCCCAAAAAAGGTGGAATTAACATTATATTTCTGTACGGCACCACTAAGGTCATGTCCACACGTATCCGTTTTAGTTTTTTTTTTTTTCCCGGTTTAGTCTACCGCCCGCACGTATCCGGGAAAAACGGTCACGAAAAACGCATCTTTCAAAAACGCTCTCCAGCGTGGAGATTTTAGAAAAAGCCGGCTTGTCCTTTACGTATTGAAGGGTGAAAACGGAGGTTTTCCAATACGATGATGTCATACATCATATTCTTCTAGCATGACGTATGCTCCGTAAGGGATGCTATCGTCTTTCCTTCCTTTTAGCGTTTTCATGTGGATGGCCGAAAACGATTCGAATACGCTAAGTGTGGACGGGTAGTTTTTTCCCTGAAAACGTAGAAAAGGGTCTCCGTTTTCAAAAGAACCCAGATACGTCTGGACGGGGCCTAAGATTCAGGTATATTAATTTGTCGTACTATCGTGACATAAATGTTATGACTTCTCGTTTATTCACCAAACGTCATCAGTAGCATGTAAAAAACAAAAGCACTATTGTCTTCCAAAAATTGAACCTCGACAATGGGCAGAGTTTGATACGCCGTTGACGCATTCAGCATGGCGGACGGACGTTGTTCCGCTGACTGAACGCAACTTTCAACATCTATTAGCCAACCGATAGTGATCGCATGTTCTCGGCAAGCTTGAGACCATAACACGAAACTACAGAACACATATCGTAACTTCTCTTCTAAAAAGTAAAGAGGGTAAATTCTCCTCCAAAAATAGTTGTGTCCGGACCTTTTTTACGAACAGACCACCATGATCGCTTACGGGAGGATCGACGGTTTTTACATAGCGTTTAACTATAGTTGAGAAGGTTCCCATTTTTTCTAATACGTTCATTGAAGTTCTTTCAACCCCCTGAAAGACTTACGTGTAGGTTTTATTTCGGGGTCAGTAGTGCTTGGTGCCCCTGCTGGAACAAATCAAAATTATCCTTAATAAGTTTTTAAGTGAGCTCTAAATTTGAGTAAAATCAGAAATTTGCTTCGGTACAACTTTATATACTTTAATCTTCATAGGATACTTACTTACAGGTGTTACTTTTGTGGTCGTTGTGTGTGGTAACTCTAACGAAAGAGACAAAGAAACAAACAAAAGGAAAACAAAGAAATTATTTTCTCTCCAAAAGCGTTGAATTAGCATTATATTTCTGTACGACACCACTAAGGCCCTGTCCACACGTATCCGGTTTAGTTTAAATTTACCGGTTTGTCCTACTGTCACACGTATGTATTCAGTGAATTCTGTCACCGCAAATGTATCTTTTCAAAAACGTTCTCCAGAGTGGAGATTCTTGAAAAAGCTGTCTTCTCGTTTACGTGTGGACGGACAAAAACGGAGGTTTTCCAATACGATGATGGCATACATCATGTTTTTCTAGCACGACGCATGCTCCTTAAGGGATGCTATTGTCCTTCCTTCGTTTTAGCGTTTTCATGTGGATGGCCGAAAACGATTCGAATACGTTAAGTGTGGATGGGTAGTTTTTTTTTTTAAGTCCGGAAGCCAGTACCCTCAAAGAAGGGTTTCGTACAATGATCGGGTCAGAAAAGGTTTGATAGCGGATTTTGATAGAACAAGACCTGCTGATCAATGTCAGCTAGTTAGTAGAGTTGATTTGTGGTATAGATCACAAGTTAAGCGGCTATTTTAATAGGCCACCCTTTTAAATTCATGGAAACGAGGCTAAGATACAAGACCACTGATAATGCGTAAATTAAACGTCTATTTTGACCTGAATCTACAAATATCGTTACACCTTTGAAGCACGAATCTTAATCAAGTTCAGGTTGCTCAAATTGAAGTCACGTGACCAAACACGTGACAGCTGCAAGGTCAAAAATGGTGTTTTAGAGCTTTTACTGGTCTTTTTTAACGTCTTCATTACCATAAATGTGTTAATTATTCATAGATATTCTGATATTTCATACGTACTGTTGGTGCATTATGCACTTTAAGACAAATTCTAGCTTCTTGAAACTGAAACAATAAAAGAATGAGAATTTTTCTCCCATTTTCGGGTCAACATGAAAACGAGGCTCATTCCGGTAGCTTCTGTTTACGGCGTTATCTGCAATTGTTTATCAAGAGAAACCTCTAATATCGTTACTTCTTAACAAATTATATCCCAATCATGCTCAAACATTGCAAAGCAAGGTCACGTGACCGAGCACGTGACCTCAGACAGGCCAAAAATTATATTTCAGTACCTTTGAGTACTAGAAAATGGCTATTAAATCAACAATAGGTGTTATTGTCCCAGGAAGTCGTCTTCCGTAAATAATACTGTTATTTATTGTAATTTATGGCTACATGACTTGATTCTACATTTTTTCGGGCCTTTTTGCATTATTGAGTTGTAGCTAAAAGCAGGAGCCGATCTGTTTAAGGCATCTACTGTATATTATACTTTAGTATACTTTAATAATAGATTTTGTGGTTAGAAATTGCGGGTATTCTGTAGTGTGTTAGCTCATTTTTGCAAGTATCATCGTTACTTTTGTGGGAAACTGAAATGAGGCTGTAGCCTCTTTTTCAAGAATCTTCAAAACGAGGCTATATCATCCAACATGGCTGCCTCCATGGCCGAAGCAGTGGAATCTCTGTAAGTACATTTGTAGAATAGCTGTATTTTACTTACTTCAACTAACACTTTTATAAAGCAAAAAAAAAAAACAACCTCAACAATCGACAATCGTTTTTCATGTCCTTTTAGAACACAATGTGAAACAATATTTCAAAATGTTTAGATTTGGTTGCCATATTCTTTTTTGGCTTTGATTTTTTTTTTATGTGACACATTACTTTAAAATTCGTTATTAGATTATAGAATGGCTGATAAAGGTTCCTTTCCTGAGGGCTTCGCCATACCGTTACTTCCAAAATCGAGAAAAAGAAAACTGTCCCGTAGCACATTGTGTATTATTTGCCAGACTGACCGCCCAGGGGAACCACTTAGAAAGGCAAAGGAAGACTCTATTGAAAAAGCGATAAAGGCAACGGAAAAGCGTTGTGACGACGAAGTGCGGGCAAGGTTTGTGAGTCATGACGCCGACACGGGAATTCATTGGCACTCAACTTGTTATGCATCATACACAAGTGACCAAAATATTCGCTATAAAACGCCTAGCGATGCTTTTCAGCATACAAGCCGGCAAAAGGAAGTCGAGGTCATCTCTAGTAGGACTTTTCGTTCAGCAATGGCCCCAGTTGATTGGTCGAAGTGCTTCATTTGTAAAAATAAGAGTCATAAAAAGAGTAGCGACCTTATCAATCTATGCACATTCGAGGCCTGTGAAAGCATCCGAATAGCGACTGAAAGAAAAGGAGATAGCTCTATGTTACACATTTTAAATGGTGTGAACGGAGACCTCATCGCAGCAGAGGCAAAGTACCATAAGAACTGTTTCGCTACTTATGTCAGTAAGAAAACCACGCTTAGCCTGCCCAAAGGAGAAGCCCTAGATTCGCCTCACGAAAGGGCTTTTCAAGACCTTGTATTTGATCTAGCTGCTGGTATAGAACAAGGCAGAGCATACGATATGATGTCTCTATTAAGCAAATATCAGGAAATTCTCACAAAAAAAGGCGCTGATAGTCCGGAAAGTTACACCACTCAAAATTTAAAAATACGCTTGCAAAAGCATTTTTCCACTTCGATTGTCTTCCATCAGCCAGCCAACCGCAGTAAATCTGAACTTGTCTATGCAAGTACCGTTAACATTCAAGATGTTCTAAACGCATGGGCAGTATTTCAGAGCCCCGAAAACGGAAACGTAAGCGTCAACAACGGCAATGAAACACCACAGTCAAGTGAAATACGTCGTGTGGCAAGCTTAATCAAACAAGAGATAAAGAAATGTACAGGTATTAACACCAAACCACTAAATACTCAAGACGACAGCATGGAGACCGCCAGACAACTCATCCCGGACTCTCTGTATTTACTAATCAAGCAGCTCGTGGTCTCAGATAAGCGGGTTAGACCCTCTAATCCGTTGAACCAGTCTACCGCAATTGAAGACGAACGACAAATCCTCAGTATCGCACAAGATATCATCCATTGTAATTCCAAGGGACGTGTTAATCTTCCTAAGCACACCAGCTTAGCTATATGTGTTCATCATCTGACAACATCTAAGCGGCTTATCGAACTGCTAAACAGAATGGGACATTGCGTCTCCTACGATGAGATGCGTGCAGTGAATACAAGTATTGCAGAGGACGTTCTTGCCAAGGCTGAAGAGTTCGGTACTGTCATACCAACTGTAATAAAGGCTGGTTCGTTTGTACAGATTGCCGCCGACAATAATGATTTAAATGAGGAGACTATCGACGGGAAGAATACTACGCATGCAACCACCATGGTTATTTATCAGAACAGAACCTTTGGTCCAGATCCACCTCCCAGCCCAGTAGAACAGAGACCAAAGCGACGTTCATTACAGGCAACGGGTACGGTGTACGACATCGAACAGTGTCCAGTTCGAGGAAGACGTCCAGCTGTAACTGATCACGTTGGCTCTGTTAACATGAAGTGGTATGATGATTTGAACAATGAAACAGGCACCGCTCGAAAAGCTGATTTCATCTGGACTCTTCTTCGGCTCTGTCCCAAGAAATTTGGAGAAGCTGTCGTTGCAGATGTTTGGGAAAAGCAATCAATTCCAAGTTGGGCAGGATTTAACGCCCTTCTCTATCCTGAGATGCCAGTAGTGAGCAATATTGGCCTACTGTCCAATGATCGATGGATCATCTAATGACTTTTCGACCATATACACAGTGCTGAAACATGCACAGAAGATAAGTGCCGCGATGGGTCAAGCCGACGCCGTGGTAATCTTTGACCTTGCCATATATAGCAAGGCAAAGGAAATACAGTGGAGATTTCCTAACGAGTTCTCCAACGTAGTGGTACGCATGGGCGGATTTCATATTGTTCTGAACTTTCTTTCACTGTTAGGGAAGAAATTCGCTGATTCTGGACTGGATGACCTCTTGATTGAGTCAGGTGTATACGCCGCTGGTTCGACGTCCGCTTTAATGAAAGGGAAATCTTACAACCGAGGAATAAGGGCGCACAAGCTTTGTTTAGAAGTGTTCTTCCGTCTCATGAGGGATGCTTTTATTCTCTGGTACGAGTCACGGGATGAGAAGATCCCAGAAGAACCCGTTTTGCACAAGATTGTGGACTGCGTTCGAGCGGTGGAGAGCGACAAAGAGAGCGCACGAGAGAGCGTGAGAAAGATAACAACAGATCTGACGGAAATTACGGATCTATTCGCCATCTTTAAATCAGAGAATCAAGAAAGGTCCAACCTATTTGCATTTTGGGATGAGTATTGCTCTATGGTCACTACCCTTTTACAGTTTCTAAAGGCAGAGAGAACCGGAAATTGGAAGTTGCATCTTTTCAGTACTGCAGCAATGTTACCTCAATTTTTTGCCATGGACAGGCAGAACTATGCTCGCTACCTACCTGTTTATCTCGCCGATATGCAGAAACTGGAACTAACTCACCCGGAAGTCTATAAGGAGTTTGCTGAGGGGAATCATTCCATAAGTCGTTCAGGGCAGCCCTTTTCACAAGTGTCCACTGACATGGCCCTGGAGCAGTGGATCAATGCTGACTCGAAATCAAGCGGAGGAGTGATCGGGATATCACAAAGTCCGTCGGCTCTTGAGCGCTGGTTTTTAACAATACACGAGCGAGCATCTATTACATGTGCTTTGAAAGCCATGTTCGGCCTTCAAGATGGGGAACAAGCATCGCACAAGGAAGCAGCTCCAAGAAGAGTTCGACGAGACGAAGAAGATGTCAAGAAGATGATCAGCTGTTTTTCTTCAGGCTTGATGACAAATCCTTTTAATCTCGATTCGGATGCGCTTCTCAACATTGCTACTGGAGTAGTTCTTCCGGAAGATGTTGCCCAGACCCTTGTTCACAGTACCGAGAAAGGTCGGCAGCAAATGAAGACCTTCGTCGAGCAGCGTATTAGTAGCAATGCCGTTGGTTTCTGGGAACCAATACCCAACATGAAGATCAAGACGTTCAGCAGCGCAAATAAGAAGATCCACGTCAAATCCAGCGACAAGCTTGTCACTGTTAACGCGGACAGGGACTTGTTTGGCAGGCTCCCTATCGTATCAAACACGCGACAGATCTCTCTGAAAGATGTGCTGAGCTTTGAATTGTCTCCAGTACCATATTCACTCGCAAACGCAGATGGGAGTCTAAGAAAAGGGACAAAGAGCGTCCTATGCTCTCTTCTGTAGAAAGACGTTAACGTGGTTCAGCATCTAACAGCATTACCTAATCCAACTGTTGTTATCATCGACGGCATGGCTATCATACAAATGACAAAATCTGCCGGAACAAGTATCTTTGGGGATCTTTCTGAAAAGTACTACAACATCTTCACTGCCCCGCTCTTTTCAAACAACTGTGTGCAAGTCCATGTAGTCTTTGACCAATATTGGGAGAACTCCATAAAGGAATGAGAGCGTGAACGACGAGGAGCATCCGTTGGTCTTGAAGTGCGGATAGGAGGTCCTACCACTCCAGTCCCCAGGCAATGGGGAAAGTACATTTCCGATCCCAAGAATAAGGTAAGGCTTAGATTATTTTAGTTGACAAGTTTTACACTTAAACTAAACTTTCGTTACCAGCAATGTGAATTGGACATCAACATTTTTTGCCTTTGAGTGTAACCATTCATAAGAGATTCCAATTCTCAAATGTGTGCTACATATTTCCAATACCAGGTTAACCTGTGCGATTTCCTGTCGGCTGCGCTCTGCAGACTCGGTGAACACCAGCTTCCCCCACAGAAGGAGCTTGTGATCGGGGGTGGCTTCAGAGATGACGAGAAAGCGGTGACTGTGACAAGAGGTCAGTGCAGAGAGGTCCAGGCACTCCGATCAAATCATGAAGAGGCTGACACCAGGATGATATTGGATGCCAAGTACGCAGCAAGAACAGATAGACGACTTGTTATCCAGTCGCCGGATACTGATGTCCTTATCCTAAGCGTTAGCCACTTTAGAAGTTTGGGATGTCCAGAATTGTGGTTTCGCACCGGATTGAAGGACCGACAACGATTGATTCCAGTGCATGACATCGCCCATGCTTTGGGTGAAAAGCTTTGTAGATCTCTTCCTGGATTCCATGCAATCACGGGCTGTGATTCGACCAGCGTTTTGGCGGGTATCGGGAAGAAGAAGGCTTGGAATAGTTTTTGTCGTAGTACTGACCACCAGGATAGCGTGTCTCATCTCGGAGAGGAACAAGAATTGCACGTAACCACAGCCGGCAAATGCGAAGCCTTTGTTTGCAGTCTATATACAACATCCAAAAGGCAAGCACCGTAGATGAGCTGCGTTACTTCATGTTCTGCAAGAAAAAGCAGAAAAACGAAATGCTTCCACCGACGTCTGATTGTCTACTTCAACATCTAAAGCGATCAAACTACCAGGCCTTCGTCTGGAGGCATGCTCTTGAAGCGATGCAAGATCTTGAGTCACCAGAGGGTCATGGATGGGTGAGGGATGAAAAGCATCTTTTACCATTGCTAATGACAAAAGCACCGACTCCGGAAAGTCTCCTCGAACTGACGACGTGCAAGTGCAAGACGTCTTCCTGTTTGCGAGACTTCTCCTGCAACAACACAGGGCTTTCTTGTACTGAAGGATGCTACTGCATGGCAGATGATGAAGTATGTAAAAACCCGCATGGTGTTACCTGCATAAGTGACTCTGAAGAAAGCGACGAAGAGTGAAAAGGCTCTCGAACTGTTGAATTGTTTGATGTTTGACGTATATTTTCTACAGAGCAAATTTATAAAGGCAGAAATATTGCTATCACTAATCTCCTATAGAGTATTTCATAACACTGACAAAAAGTGTATTGTAAACAACAGATTCTGTAATATAACATAAGTATCGACGTATATGCGTTCCGGGCGATTTAATAGGCATGTTTTGGCTTGTCTGAGGTCACGTGCTCGGTCACGTGACCTTGCTTTGCAAAGTTTGAGCATGATTGGGATATAATTTGTTAAGAAGTAACGATATTACAGGTTTCCCTTGATCAACAATTGCAGATAACGCCGTAAACAGAAGCTATCGGAATGAGCCTCGTTTTCATGTTGACCCGGAAATGGGAGAAAAATTGTCATTCTTTTATTGTTTCAGTTTCAAGAAGCTAGAATTTGTCTTAAAGTGCGTAATGCACCAACAGTACGTATAAAATATCAGAATATCTATGAATAATTAACACATTTATGGTAATGAAGTCGCTAAAATAGGCTAGTAAAAGCTCTAAAACACCATTTTTGACCTTGCAGCTGTCACATGTTCGGTCACGTGACTTCAATTTGAGCAATCTGAACTTAATTAAGATTCGTGCTACAAAGGTGTAACGATATTTGTAGATTCAGGTCAAAATAGACGTTTAATTTACGCATTATCAGTGGTCTTGTATCTTAGCCTCGTTTCCATGAAGTTAAAAGGGGTGGCCTATTAAAATAGCCGCTTAACTTGTGATCTATACCACAAATCAACTCTACTAACTAGCTGACATTGATCAGTAGGTCTTGTTCTATCAAAATCCGCTATCAAACCTTTTCTGACCCGATCATTGTACGAAACCCTTCTTTTAGGGTCCTGGCTTCCGGACTACTAAGATTCAGATATTTTTCTTTGTCGTTCTATCGTGACATAACTGTTGTGACTTCTCGTTTATTCACCAAACTTCTTCACTAGAATGTAAGAAACAAAAGCACTATTGTCTTCCAAAAATGCATCCTTAATAATAGGCAAAGTTTGATACGCTGTTGACGCATTCAGCGTTGCGGATGGACGTTGCTCCGCGGACTGAAGGTAACCTTTAACATTTATTAGTCAACCGATAGTGATTGCATGTCCTCAGGAAGCTTGAAGCCATCACTGAATTGTTGCCTGCGCGGGACAAACTATATTTTTAGTTTTTGTGGGATGAAGATATCACTTTATATTATGTTTTGCAGCAGTTTTAGTCAACGCTACAGCCAATAGCGTACATTCTATGTTTGGCAATATTGTAAAGTTGCAAAATAGGAAAAACTAAGAAAAACTTGTAAGCTCTAAATCAGCAGATTTCAGAATCAGGTGGGCTGGGGCTGATTTCTTCTTGGTGCGGGAAGCTGTTTTCCTCCGTCGACGCCTCGTTTAGGGGTGTAAATTGAAGATTTTAGGCTCACTTAGAGATGGTGCCGATTTTTTCCAATACATTCAAGTTTTTTGCACCCCATGAGAGACTTACGTGTGGGTGTTATTTCGGGGTCAGTGATGCTTGGTGTTCCTGGTGGAAGATACCAAATGTATCATTAATAAGATTTTAAGCGAGCTCTAAATTTGAGTAAAATCAGAAATTTGGTTCGGTACAACTTTATACTTTAATCTTCATAGGATACTTACTTGCAGTTGTTACTTTTGTGGTCGTTGTGTGTGCTAACTCTAATGAAAAAGACAAATAAACAAACAAAAAGAAAACAAAAAAATTAGTAAGTTTCTCTCCCAACACGTGGAATTAACCCGTATATCTGGCCCCAGTTGTTTAAAAGTTGGATAGCGCTATCCACTGGATAAATCACTATCCAAAGGATAAGTGTTAGGGAAACCAATTGCGCCATCCAGTGGATAGTGATTTAGCCAGTGGATAGTGATTTATCCGGTGGATAGCGTCATCCACCTTTTGAACAACTGGGGCCAGTACCGCACCATCAAGGCCCTGTCGACACTTATCTCTGTTTTGTTTGAATTAACGGATTTTTTTTTCCGGTTTGTCCTACCGTCCACACCTATGTAAAAACTGTCACCAAAAATGCGTCTTTTCAGAAACGTTCTCCAGAGTGTAGATTTTTGAAAAAGCCGGCTTCTCGTTTACGTGTGGACGGACGAAAACAGAGGTTTTCCAATACGATGATGTCATACATCATGTTCTTCTAGCATGACGCATGCTCCGTAAGGGATGCTTGCGTCTTTCCTTCGTTTTAGCGTTATCATGTGGATGGCCGAAAACGATTCGAATACGCTAAGCGTGGACGGGTAGCTTTTTTTCTTGAAAACGGAGAAAAAGATCTTCGTTTTCAAAAAACCCGGATGCGTGTGGACGGGGCCTAAGATGTAGATATTTTTCTTTGTCGTTCTATCGTGACATAAATGTTATGACTTCTCGTTTATTTACCAAACGTCATCAGTAGCATGTAAGAAACAAAAGCACTATTGTCTTCCAAAAATGTAACCTCAACAATGGGCAAAGTTTGATACGCCGTTGACGCATTCAGCATGGCGGACGGACGTTGTTCCGCTGACTGAACGCAACCTTCAACATCTATTAGCCAACCGATAGTGATCGCATGTCCTCAGCAAGCTTGAAACAATCACATGGAACTGCAGAATACATATCGTATCTTCTCTTCTTCTCTTCGTTTTAGCGTTTTCGTGTGGATGGCCGAAAACGATTCGAATACGCTAAGTGTGGATGGGTATGTTATTTATTTTTTTCTTGTAAAAGGAGAAAGAGATTTCCGTTTCCAAAAGTCCCAATACATTTGGACGGGGCCTAAGATTCAGATATTTTTCTTTGTTGTACTATCGTAACATAAATGTTATCGCAGACTTGCCTTTATATATTTACCAAACGTCATTACTACAATGTAAGAAACAAAAGCACTATTGTATTCCAAAAATGCGACCTCAACAATAGGCAAAGTTTGGTACGATGTTAACGCAATCAGCGTTGTGCACGGACGGAAGTTTTTTCGTTGGCTGAACTTACCCGTCAACATTTATAAGCCAACCGACAGTGATCGCATGTCCTCAGCAAGCTTGAAACAATCACTAAATTGTTGCCTGCGCGGGACAAACTATATTTTAGATTTCGGTGGAAAGCGTACATTCTATGTTTGGCAAAATTGTAAAGTTGCAAAATAGGAAAAACTAAGAAAAACTGGTAAGCTCCAGATAAGGAGATTCCAGAATCAGTGGGCCGCCCACCTACCCTCCCCTAAACCAACTTTTTTCCTTAAGTGAGAAGTAAGTGTTAATGTTGGCTTAGGGGAGGGGTAGGTGGGTAGTTTCCAAGAAACGTACAATGATCCATTTCTTCATTGTGCGGGAAGCTGTTTCCCTTCGTAGACGCCTCGTTTAGGACTGTAAATTGAAGATTTTAGGCTCACTTAGAGTTTTCAGGACTGAAAACCAATATTTCAACCATACATTTGTCGTTAAGGGCTGTCTGATGAATTCTGTCATTGGAGGGTTGATTTGTGGGGAGTAAGGGTGGCAATACGCTAGAAAATGGCGTTCATTTTAACCATATGAATGTAAGCAGTGTGTCCGTTATTTGTTTCATCGGTAAATGCCTAATGCGTTCTTCGCAGGATGAAAAAAAAAAGGAAAGAAGGAAAAGTGTACCTGGTGTCGTTGGTGTCGATGATCCATATCCGTTGCCACAGTAACGTGAGTTACAGACAGTTAACGGCTTTAGTTGGTAAACGAAGAAGCCACCACAGTTACGGACTCTGATGTAAGTCGACAAAGAACAACAGTCACCGTATACGAAATAACTGAAACACACTCTTCTTTGAACAGCCCCCTCGTTTACTGTAGGGTGACTTCCACTGAGCCAACCAGGGTACCATGTGCCACAACGATACCCATCAACACAAGACTCTGCCATTTGATTTCCAGCTGCTCCACTAAATCTGTACCAGTCGGTCGACAGCGTATTATCACATTGAAAATAAGGTGTATTATATGTTTTCGATCTGCTGGTCTCGTTAAGAACTTTGTAATTGTAACATTCTATGAAAGAAAGGAGAACTCCGTGTAGTACAATCTGTCAAATTCTTGTCTACTTGTTCAGCTTCAGTTACTACTATATGAGCCTAAGTTGCTTCTATATTATTTTCTTAAAAACTTGTTAGTGTTTAACTCTTATTTTGCTAGAAAATGCAATGTCATTGGAAAAAAGAGGCATGAATTTTGAAAAACGTCTGCCAAACAATGAAATAAAACGACTGTTGTTGTTTTGTTTTTGTTAATACCTGGTGCAAATGGCAATCCGTTTCCACAGTAACGCAGATTGCAATGGGATTGTCCTTCAAGTTTGTAAACGTAAAATCCTCCACAATGTTGCACAGTTATTTCGGTTGAATGATGGCAACAGTTGTCAAAAGAGCTAAAACACACTTGGCGTTTAACGGCCCCATCAGTTAAGTCAGGATGAGTTCCGTTCAGCCATCCAGGTGACTCGGTCCCGCAATGATACATGTTGACACAAGAGTCAGCCATTTGCGTTCCAGCCTCTCCGTTAAATCTGTACCATCCATTAAGATTTGCATCGCACAGGTAAGAAATACTTCTGTTATGTGTCATTGCTCTGTTGGACTCGTTGAGGGTTGTGTAGTTGGAACATCCTAAGAGAGGATTACAAGTGACGCAGTGATGTATCCTGAGTAATGTGCATTCCATAGCTTATTGAAGAGAGGAGATTTTAAGGAACGAGGCACTTTCTCCCCTTCGCTTCTGTTCCCCTCTCTCCTCCGGAAAGTCCTGAAACTCAGATCTTTAGGCCACCATTTGCGGTCTAAGTTAACTAGTCACCAACCAAAACATGACACGGGGAAAATAGGGTGTTTGCCCCACCCAGATGATAAGCAAATTGCCCAAATGTTAAAAGCAAGCAAACAAACAAAAGCAAGAACAAAAAACAAAACTTGTCGTTATCTGAATCTTAAGTGAAAGATGTATTCTTAGCTTGGCGTACAGGTTTTCTCATTTTCACTTCCACAACAGGAAATAAGCAATATTTACTTACCGGATACACTGAAGTTTACTTGAGTATATGATATTCTAAATCTAGGAGACCGTCGTCTACTACCGTCGGAGAAAAATAGTACTTTAATTCGCTCTTTAAACCAATTGTACGTTACTTTGGCTTTTAAAGGAGGGGCACATAAACGCCATTTTGGACCATCGTAGACTGAAATGGATCCACCTTGAATTTCCAAATAATTACACAAGCAATACCGTCTTCTATTGCGCCACCAATAAAAATCCATGTGTTCAATAGTAAATACAATTCCTTTTCCTTTTCTTGCCCGGATCTCCCAGCTGCAGCTTTGGTTCTGATAAGGATAATATCTGGGGTAGAAAGGACTGGTGATGGCCCCTGAAATCTCATTCAAGGTTGTCGTTTTTGGACAGACTGTAAAAGAGAATTACACATATCTCTTGGAGTATATTATTCGGAAAAATATTTCAAACATTTTTTTTTCTTTTTAACACCTTAATATCCCTTGGTTAAGCAGACTCTTTCCCTTCCCCCTCCTCCAATATTTTCAAAAGCACTTCTTTACTAGCTGGCGTCTCAATATCCCAGACTTCATCTGAAAACGGGTTAGTGTATCAGCTTTGATGAAATACTAAAAGATATATTGTAGCTGTTATGCTTGACTCATAAGGGAGCTTAAATACAAAATACTGCTTGCTAACAATACATGTTGCTTCCTCCCATCAATTACGAATACTACTACAACACCATTTTTTTTGCAGCACGAATTTATGTTATCCCGTATTTCTTGGTGATTTTAAGGAGTTTATAAGCTACGGTATTTTCGGTAATTTTATCCTTCTTAATTTGTTAACTCTAGGCTTTAAACTTCAAAATTGGCGAAAGGGGCCTCTTTGGCTGACAAAATTGTCATCTCCACATAACAACTGATGATTCTGGAGGATCCTAATTTCGTACAAATAAAGACAAACTTGAAACAAACTTGGTGTTCAAAATTTACCTGAATGCAGTTTTACCAAATCGTGTTCCCTTTGACATTTCGTTATTCCTATTTTGCTCTTCTACATTGTCAAGCAATAATACGTTAGTAAGTACCGAAGAAATTGCTGATAGTGTGAGTAGCTCCGTAAAATCTAATTGTTTTAAATTTTGTCTGTTTGTTTATGACTGTCGTTTCCCCCAATGTAAGGTAATTCGAATACTGGAATCGATAAAATAATTCTACTGGAGGAGTCCGGAATCCCTCTCATGATTGGAATCCGGAATCTAACTACCACGAGTAACCGGAATCGAGTTCCTGGAATCCAGAGTCCACAGCGTGGAATCACGAATCCAAGACTTTCTTGGATCACGTTTTATAGGGGCGAGTTGTTGTTGGTGATGTTTTTTTAATCTTAACTCAATCGTGGATGTGTTATAAATAATGTATACCACGTACCTGAACTATACGTTATAGCCGTGTAACTTGCATTAAATCCTGGGTATTGACTGCTCAGAGACGTGAAAATGACTTGAACGGAATTCCCTATCGAGTACACTGGAGGAGGAAGAGACTGACCGCACAGCATGAACGGCTGATACCCATCATTTGAAGCAACATTTGTGGCTGTAACACGGGCTCCTGTAGCTTCATAATAACAGGGACTGTACTGATTTGGCTCCAATCGAAAGTAGGGGAAGCTAAGTTTAATGATGTATCCGCTGGGAACTGTGATATTCCAGGTACATTTGCTGTATTGAGGGTAGTTACTTGGAAAATTTGGAGTTGAAAAGAATCCACTAAATCCATTAAGGTATTCGCTGGAGGTACAAGCTGCAACAAGGGGAAAAAAACATGATTTAGCTTTATAATTCAAAATTAAAGAGTAATTTTTTCTGTGAACCAAAAAAAAAACAATTTAATCGAAAGAGTTGCAAGAGATAAAAATAAAAAATACAAGATTCGCAACAAAACACTCTTAACATCATGCGAATGAAAATTGTTGGCATTTCATCGGCATTTACTTCGTAAAGTCAAAACAATTGACTTAAACAGATACACGAACATCAACATATTGAATCAACTAGACAGTGAATACATATACCGTAAAATTCCGAAATAAGTCCCGGGGCTTATATTTTTCAAAGGCCCTTTACGAGGAGCTTATTTTTGGAGGGGCTTATATTCGGAGGGGCTTATCTACGGAGGGAAATTTGCGTTTCAAAATAGATTGGGCTAGCCTTATAGTTAGAGGGAAATTTACCGTTTTTGCTTTGTTTTACTTTCTATTTGAGGGCAAGTAATTCATGGCAGTCTCCATATAGACTCCCTAATATATTAGTGCAATATTGTATACCCCTATATATCCTGTGTACCCATGTTTACCCTAGTAATACTGTATACCCCTATGTACCTTGTGCACCCATGTTTACCCTAGTAATACTGTATACCCTGTATACCCCTATATAACCTGTTTACCCATGTTTACCCTAGTAATACTGTATACCCTGTATACCCCTATATATCCTGTTTACCCTTGATCACCCTAGTAATACTGTATACCCTGTATACCCCTATATATCCTGTTTACCCTTGATCACCCTAGTAATACTGTATACCCTGTATACCCCTATATATCCTGTTTACCCTTGATCACCCTAGTAATACTGTATACCCTGTACACCCCTATATACCTTGTGCACCCATGTTTACCCTAATAGTACTGTATACCCTGTATACCCCTATATATCTTGTGTACCCATGTTTACCCTAGTAGTACTGTATACCCTGTATACCCCTATATACCTTGTGCACCCATGTTTACCCTAGTAATACTGTATACCCTGTATACCCCTATATACCTTGTGCACCCATGTTTACCCTAGTAGTACTGTATACCCTTTATACCCCTATATACCTTGTGCACCCATGTTTACCCTAGTAATACTGTATACCCTGTATACCCCTATATACCTTGTGCACCTATGTTTACCCTAGTAATACTGTATACCCTGTATACCCCTATATATCTTGTGTACCCATGTTTACCCTAGTAGTACTGTATACCCTGTATACCCCTATATATCGTGTGTACCCGTGTATATCCTGTGTACCCATGAATACCCTAGTAATACTGTATACCTTGAATACCCCTATATATCCTGTGTACCCATGTTTACCCTAGTAATACTGTATACCCTGTATACCCCTATATATCTTGTGTACCCATGTTTACCCTAGTAGTACTGTATACCCTGTATACCCCTATATATCTTGTGTACCCATGTTTACCCTAGTAGTACTGTATACCCTGTATACCCCTATATACCTTGTGCACCCATGTTTACCCTAGTAATACTGTATACCCTGTATACCCCTATATACCTTGTGCACCCATGTTTACCCTAGTAATACGGTATACCCTGAATACCCCTATATATCTTGTGTACCCATGTTTACCCTAGTAGTGCTGTATACCCTGTATACCCCTATATACCTTGTGAACCCTTGATTACCCTAATAGTACTGTATACCCTGTACACCCCTATATATCTTGTGTACCCATGTTTACCCTAGTAATACTGTATACCTTGTATACCCCTATATATCCTGTGTACCCATGTTTACCCTAGTAATACTGTATACCCTGTATACCGCTATATATCTTGTGTACCCATGTTTACCCTAGTAGTGCTGTATACCCTGTATACCCCTATATATCTTGTGTACCCATGTTTACCCTAGTAGTGCTGTATACCCTGTATACCCCTATATACCTTGTGAACCCATGTTTACCCAAGTAATACTGTATACCCTGTATACCCCTATATATCTTGTGTACCCATGTTTAGCCTAGTAGTACTGTATACCCTGTATACCCCTATATACCTTGTGCACCCATGTTTACCCTAATAGTACTGTACACCCTGTATACCCCTATATATCATGTGTACCCATGTTTACCCTAAAAATACTGTATACCCTGTATACCCCTATATATCCTGTGTACCCATTAATACCCTAGTAATACTGTATACCTTGTATACCCCTATATATCCTGTGTACCCATTTTTACCCTAGTAATACTGTATACCTGGTATACCCTTGTATGTCCTGTTTACCCATGTTTACCCTAGTAATACTGTACACCCTGTATACCCATATATACCTTGTGCACCCATGTTTACCCTAGTCAGGCCCGTAACCAGGATTTTATGTGGGGGGGTGCTAACGAGGCCTAAGTGGACCAAACTACCGAAATGTATTTTTTATTGTCCGATTCGTTTATTTAGGAAAGTAGTAATACATGAGAAATTGTAACGGCAAAGTACACGGTAGGAACTGAATATTACATTTGTCTAATACAACTGTTTAAATTAAGTTATAAAGGAGTAATTTTACGATGTAAAATGATACATCAATTAAGGAACTGTGCAACAATTATCGGGAGAGGGGGACTGAAAAACTAAAGTATCTAGCAAAAACTTAGACAGTACCCCCCTCCAAAACAAAAAAAATTAGTTCTACCCCCCTCTGTTATGTTAAAAATAACGTCGCAACCTCCCTCCCACCACCCACCCACCCACCGACACACACCCACCCCTCACCGCCACCATTACCATAGATGCCTTTAAGTAAATACCTTTTATATTGTCATGCTACTGTAAGCGTGCGCTGGACTGAGCTGGACTGAGCTACCATCACAGCTTCAATAACGACAAACGTTATTATGTAACATCTAGTATCGAGAAGGATGTTGATCGCTTGATTGAAGATTTAGACAAAGCATTTGCTAAGTACCGGGGTGCTTACCACATTGGCTCAAAATCTAAAACTTCTGAAGTCAGAAAGAGAAAGGAGCAGAGAAAAAAAATCAAAGAACAGGAGATTGAACACTTCAAATAAACAGACGAAAAAGAGCTTGCATTATATTTAGATCCTTGGGAGGAGGGCCTGTTGAACTTTGTTATGAGCCAGATATATATATGGAATTCAGCAAATCGATTCAGTCGATGAAGAAACATTACTTTTATTCACATCAAAAACCGACAAAGCTTGTCTACGATATCTGTTTGATTCCCATTGTTTTATGGGGGAAGCTGAAAAACAAGTTCATGATTTTTGCTTTACATAGGATCAGCTCAATTAATTAGAAGACGGGTTAAAACTGATCAGTTGTGAATTTTCTTTTCATTTTGATGGAATATTTTCAATAATCGTTTAACAGCTGTTCGTATTGATATTTGTTACAGTCTATCATGATACCTTTATTGAGAATCTTTTCTTGCGTTTAATTTTATTTACATTTTGAATAAAACTTAAGGCCCCCCTCCGTCAAATGAGTGATTTTACTTTGAGCCCCCCCCCTATCTTGGCAGCAATTTTATGTAATGCCCCCCCTCTAGTTTTTCAGCTTCCCCCTCCCTCCTGATAATTATTGCACAGTCCCTAAATACTGCGGAACTAATCCCTCAGAATAGTCCCGAGCTCCAGCCTACGTGGGTGTTTGGTGGCAAACAGATTTACCACCTAATCCAAAACAATTTTAACTTGGTAATGTATGTGCATTAGTGCGAGGGACGACAGCCTTTCACTGTTAAGTTTGAAACTTCAGTTTAACCGACTTGGATATTGAGTATCAAAATGCGGACCTTTGGGGCCTGTGGGGGGGTGCGAACGCACCCCGTGCACCCTCCCTGGTTACGGGCCTGACTAGTAGTACTG